TTGAGACTGCTCCAGGGCCTTGTGCCAGAGCTTTTGCTGTACCACATCTTTCCATACCAGCTCATCCTCGGCTGAAACAGGACCATACTCCAGTGCCGGTGCGCTTTGTAGTCTCCACTGGAACACCTCCTCATATGGGGACGCTGCCCGGTGGCTAGCTCGCTCCATCTCACTGAGTTACTCTGCAACCAGGGGCGGTGCGTGAATGCTAGCGTTGCCCTCAATTATAAATCCAACAATACCGGTGTCTCCAGATGCTCCCTCTTTCCCACTACAAGATGCTTCTATACTCACTAGGAAGCCATCCCACAACTGCCACCAAATGTGATGGACCGCCAGGCACCCCGATCGGGTACCTCCGTCAAATCGCTGCTTCCTAGTAATCCCTGAGTACCATAAGCACGGCACTGGAACACCATAACCACTGTAACCCCACAAACCGCTGCAGCTTGTTTGGGGTCTCGCTGTCCTCCTCCCACCCTGGACCCAAGACCAAGATCCAGCTTCCAGTGGGTAGACCTCTCCTAGCCCAGAGAGCAAAGCAGGCTGCTCTTACAAGAGCAATCGTTGTAATCCAAGGGAGTATAGTTATTATAGCAATCACCATAGTGAATATAGCTCTCCAATCCCCCAAACATGAGCCTAGACTTCATGATGGGTAAAACGAAATCTGATTAATGGCAGCCACAACTGGCCTTATATGCAGGTCCCTATGCAAGGGGCATTCCCCCCTGGACCTGAGATGAGACTACAGTAAAAACATATTGTTACAAACCACCTCTTTTAGAGGTAGGATTTTGTTACAGATCTTACGGTAACCACAGCCATCTAGGGTAATCAAAGTCCAGGATCAAAGTTCGGTTTTCCTTTTTATTTGTTAAGAAAACATGTGCTTTAAATAATAATAAACAAAAAAAAAATCCTTTCTCTTACTTGAGCTCTTACTAGACAGAAATAACTATCTGTAATTGGGTGGCTTTCCCACTTACCAATTTTCAAAAAAACTAAATAAATTTGCAATAAACACAATTGTTCTTTCTCCTTCAGCTCATCTAACTGGCTTTTTCTCCCTCACTCTGCAGCAGACTGATCTCTTCTTTTTAGGCCTGCCTGCTAATTGACCAGCTACAAAGGTGAGTGTCAATTAGTTCACATCTCCGGAACTCTTAAGTTAAATCCAAGTTCTGGTCTGTTACAGAGCAACTAGTGCTGTTGGAGCACTGGCCCACCCTGCTCTTCAAATGCTCCGCCCCAGGGACCCATACCGTGTTTTGCAGAGTATCAGCAATGTATATTGCAAACTTAACATCCCTGTGGCATTTAACTGAAAAATCTCTGGCTGCTGTTTAGCAAAGCAGGCCTGATATATCTTCCTCCAACAACCATTCCACATTTTCGATCACAATATACACAATTGCATTGGCTCTTAGGTCCAGGACACTCCCATACAAAATAGGTCAATCCCTCCCCTATGCCTGGGAGATAATTGAGTCAAGCACTGTATTAAACTCAATTATCTCTAGGCACAAAAAAACCCCCACATTTTTCAAAACCCCAAAAATACCTTAAAACACACAGAATCACCACAAAAATTACAGCCCTGATCTGGGTTACCAACATATCCAAAAATCACCCAGATCAGTTCAGAGGTTCAGAAAATTCCTGAAAGTCATAATTTGACCGCCCACATGATCCCATGCCCAAAACAGTTGCAGAGAATCAGTTGGCCTAGTTCGGTAGCTTAAAAATGAACAAACTACCGAACAGAGTCAATAGTCTTACCCTGGAGCTTGATCCCCTTGTTTGTGGGAATGTTTCCACCGAACAGCGCCTTTCTAAGTGTTGTAGAACCAAACGCAGGCGATGCTGGAAGTCCAGTGGTATTCGGGAGTTTCTGTGTCCGTTTTCAGTTCCATGAGATTCATGCCCAAACACTGCTGCCTGCTTTCATGTGAACAAGATATCATTTTTAAGTCTATTGGATTCCAGTAATGGTTCCAAGGCCAGGACATACAAGAGTGGGGAGAGGGGGCAACCTTGCCTTGTACCGTTTGTGATTTGAAAATGGGGTAAGAGGAACCCAGCTTGCAGTGATTGTGCCATAGGGTTAGCATATAGTGCAAATATTTGTTTAATAAGTGGTAGGGGAAAACCGTAAGCTTCAAGTGCATGTCTTAAAAAAGGCCAGCCGAGGCAGTCAAACTTGTCGAGCACTACTGCAAGCTTCCTAGTATTATCTAATCCCTGATGTCCTGTCACAAACACCGCCTGGTCATCATGTATAAGATAAGTGAGGAGGGGCGTCAGTCTGTTTGCAAGCATCTTAGCGTAAATTTTGGCATAAGTATTAAGGAGGGAAATAGGTCTAAAATTCTTGCAGGAATCTGTGGGTTTGTCTGGTTTTGTTATGGCGATTATCGTGGCTATCAGCATATCCTTGGGGAGGGTGCCAGTCCCTGTTAGCTGATAGATTATAAGGAGTTTCGGGGCCAGAGCATCAACAAAGGTTTTATACTATAAATTATTTAGGCTGCCTGCGCCTGAGGATTTGCCAGATGGTAAACGTTTTATGGTTTCTTTAATTTCTTCTAATGAGAACGGTCAAAGTAAGGATTGGGATTGTTCGGGCGTGAGTCAGGTCAGTGGAATACCATCCAGGTAAGATCGTATTTCTCGAGGGGAGAGGGTGTGGGTATTGCAGTCTGTTTGCAAGTTAAACAGTTTAGCATAGTATTGTGCAAACTCTTTGCTGATGTTTTGGGGACCTAGTTGTTTGTTTTCATTTTCATCTATCAAAAGTGATATCCTAAAGGCCGCTAATTTTTCCCTAAGCCGGTCCGCCTAACATTTGTTTGCTTTCCCACTTTTGTGGTATGAAGTGGCTTTCAATCTTTGTAGGAAATAAGTTGTCTTGAGAGCATTTAAGGTGTAAATGCGTTGATATAGGAGTCTTAATTGTTCAGCTAGCCGGGGAAGGACAGGTCTTAGTTTTCTGGTTAAGTCTTGTTAATAGTTTATAGCAATCGAGTAGTTCGGCTTGATGTTTCCGTTTAAGGTAAGTGGAGCGTCGGATAAAAAGCCCTCTCACTACTGCTTTATGAGAAGACCAGACAATTGTATTGTTTCACCGTTACAGTTCTGTCAGAAGTATTCAGTTAGTTTGTTTTGTCAATGAGTAGGGACTCGTTAAGTCTCCAATTACCCTTCCCTCGAAACTGGTAGGAGTAAAAAGGTTGTAAAGTTACTTGGCAGTGATCTGACCACGTAAAGTCACCTATTGTACAGGTGGAGACCTGGGACAGGGCCAGACTATCTACATAATAAGTTTCTATCCTCATGTAGGTATTGTGTACTATGGAATGGAACGTGTAGTCTCGTTCAGTGGGGTGTGTCATTCTCCAGAGGTCATAAAGGCCATATAGCGATGTCACTTTGTTAATAATCCTGCAAATGGAGTGAAGTTGTTTGTATCTACGTCCTTCCGGTTTTGCAGATGTGTCTAAGCTAGGGGATTGAATGAAATTGAATTCTCCGCATAGTATCAGCCCCTCCTGTCGATAGTGTTCCAGTTTGGTAAGTAGAGAATGGAGGAAATTTCTAAAGTCAGCATTCGAAAAATAGGCCATGACCAGAGTATATTGGATCTCGCTGAACAGCCCTAGTAAAATTATGTATCTGCCTTGTGGGTCAATATATTGCTTTTGTAACATGAAGGCAACATCTTTATGTATAAGGATCGAGACACCTTTAGTTTTGTTCGTGGAATTGTGTGGGGTAGGATTTGGAGTACATCACTGGTGCCTGAGATTTTTAAAAATGTGTTTCCTGGACACGTGCAATGTCCACCCTCCGTTTCTTAAGATCCTGGTATAACAATCTCCGTTTACCAGGAGAGTTTAGCCTTCTCACCTTAAAAGTGACTATTTCCATAGTGTGTTAGAGATGTGGTTTGTGATAATACAGTAGCAATACACCCTTGAACCCTGGAGAGGATGGAGTGTCGTGCACTGTAATAAGATAGCAAGATATCCGAACGAAGTGTTCGGATATGGGTTTCAGAGTAAAGTTCCAACCGTGTGATGAGATGTACGAAAAGGTGTTTGTAGCGACACAAGTATGGTGGGGTTTGTAGCCGAGACTTTCTCAGGCAAAGAGCCTCTCTAGCTGAGGGACGAGGGGCAATGTCAAGGTTTCAAACATCTAGTTCCCGAGCAGCATGGAAATAAGTGACTCCATGTAAGGGCGGTATAGATACGTCATGTGCAGTAACATTAAACCAACAACAAAATTGTTTTTATTTATTTTTTGTGTGTCAGGATCTAGCCTTAGGCTCTAAATGTGTGATATTCAGTAAGCCCACTTTACACTCTTAGTGTCCCCACAGTACACCTTAAAACGACAAGTAGCAAATATATATGCATAACAACGTTAGCAATTATACGATACCCAGCCCTCACAGCATGTTGTTAATCATTTGGTACTCTAGCCTGGGGATAGTCATGGTTCTTTTCGTGGAACAACCTGCTTTATGGTTGGAAGGGGGATACCCCAGTCTCGCAGTTTCTGCAGACCTTCCTCAGTGCACAAAATGGAATGGAGAGTCCTGTGTCTTTACAGGATCAACTTTGCAGGAAAGCTCCACCGGTAGCTGATATCTAGAGCTCGTAGAGATGAAGTAATGGGCACCAGAGTGGAGCGTGGCTGGTGAGAGATTCATGAAGAATTTTAAAGGAGAATAAGGTTCCGGCAAATCTGCGTTTCTGCTAACTTTAAGTATTCTTTCCTTCACGTGGAAGCAGTGGATCCTTATGATGATGTCCCATGCAGCAGATGGCGGAAGGTGGTTGGGTCTTTGGAGCCTGTGGGCTCTGTCGATGATTATCTGATCTAGGTGGATTTCAGGGATCAGCACTTGGAAGAGGTCTAAGAGGTAAGTGTGGAGGCTTGTGTCTGCCACGGATTCGTGTATACCCCGGATGCACAGGTTGTTTCTCCGGGATCTATCCTCCAGTTCTTTTTAGCCTCTGGAATTCAATCACCTCTTCCAGTGTCTGGAGTTTGTTAGCTAAGCCATTGTGTGCAGTGGCAAAGTCAGCCAGTTTTTGTTCCAAATGGGAGGTCCTTTGACCGATCTCTTTGATTTCCTTGCGGGTGTTGATGGCCATAGTTTGCATTTGACCTGTAATTGTGGATTGCAGGGATGCAGCAAACTCCGCTATCATTGCACTCGTGGTCACTGTGGTGATCAGGCCATCCTCCTGCAAGGGGGCTGGAGAGCTTGGTGGAGAAAAGGAGTTTTCCCGCAATCGGGGGGCGTCGCCATCTTGGAAAGGCATTGAGGCCTTCCCTGAGCCTCACTGCCGCTGCTTTCACAAGGAAAAAAAAGGAGGTTCGATCAGCCTTTGCTGGCTTCGTTTTATGCCTCTGTGACATGGTGCTTGCAGGCTGCCACAAGTCGTCAGGTTTGCCGTCGGGTAAGTCGCTCTTATTGTGCCACTCGTAACTCACACTGCCGGAGCTCTAGCAAGATTCGTCTATGCGGTTTGCCTGCATAGCCACACCCTCATTTGAACATAATTTTGAACATTTAATTTTGAGAAATTATGCACACTGGCACCCTTGCCACCATCTCCTAGATTTCTTCCTATTCACCTCCCTCCAAAGACTCCCCAAATGTATATATCTCAATGGACCGCATATCGAGGAGTTGGAACAAATCTATACATATAAATCAGAAATTATATTTCTGATTTCCTAGGTAACATACATTTTCAAAAAACTGTAAGGTAGAAGATGCTGCTTTTTTAATCCCCATAGAATGAGCAAAGTCTCTGATCTGGAAGTATCTAAATAAATCCTTAGTGGTCAATGGATGTATCTGCTTCAGCATCTCAAAACTGTTGGCAATCACATTAGGCTACAAGTGAGCATGGGGTGGTCTAACCTCTTTTAGGTTTCAAACATCCCTACATATCATGCCTGTTTGAAAAGGCTGGTTTCTCAATACTGGTGTTAGAGAAGAGGGACTACCCACCAATGCAAATTTGTATCCAATCCGGTTCCATAGGTAAGGTAAATTTAAGATCGACGGACAATTAGTTAGATTACTCAAACACCTGCTGGTCTGTCTCTTTGGGGGCTTTGGAGCTTGAAAAACTGAATAAGTTTGGAAGATTTGTTGCCTATATTGTGGGATACATTGCACAATTGATACAAGCATGTAAACCAATAAGGTGAGAGCTCCACATAGGGTGTACACCTAATGTTATCACACCATTTAAGCTTTTCATTTCCCCAGATTCAAGTTTAACCCCTGCAGTGCTGAAAAAAAAAAGAAAAAAAAAAGTGATTGAGATCTGGACTGCCTATTCTTGGACTCTGTGCTAAAAGCAGTTTATGTGTAATAAGGAAAAGTACATTTTCTCTGCATTATTATATGCTCTTTGAAAGTTGCATTACCGTGGTGAAGGAGTCATATATATTATTTTCCACTTTTATTCTCTAATTTGTGAGTGTTTTAAAATTGTGAGCTAACTTATTTATCAATATACATTGTATAAAGAGGGGATATTATATTCTATTCAACTCCAGGTCCACCCACCCACTTTTTGTACAAACTCCCATATAGATATAAGACAAGGCAGGATGGACAAAAGTTAGTAACCAGCCAACAGGCACAAGAGAGAAGAAATAAGAGAACAGAAGACAAAAATTAAAAGGAAATGCTTATTCAAGACTGTTAGAAGAAGTGAGAACTGGGACAAATTTCAGCTAGCTTTCCATGTCTTGTGTGAAAGATGAGTAAACAGAACAGGAAGCCTGGTCAAGGTGCCCAAAGGGGATTATGTGGATTATTGGATTGAATTTAGATACTAAAAGCCTCCAGTTATTTAAATGTACATAGGGATTTGACATATAATAAAAAACAATATATATTTTTTAATTTGTATTGTATATTTTGGAGCTGATGCGCACTGTAGTTATTGATGCTGTGCAGGAATAGTGGGAGTTTGATTTCAGGGCTTAATTTTGTATGTTTCGATTTGCTTTTATATTTTACAGCCATGTTACCGCCCACACCATGTGCTCTCTAATAAGGATTAATAAATATGTAGGGCTTTAGAAAAATACCTCTCTCTGTCAGTGTTCATTTTGGCGGCAAATTTCAATTTAGTTTTAGTTATAGTCTTTTGACTAAAAAGCCATTTTAGTTTCCGTCATATTTGAGTCATCTGAATTGTTTTAGTTTTAGTCGAGTAAATCTCCAGTAGATTTTAGTTGACACAACTAAAATTGAATGGGTTTAGTTAAAGCCTCTATCGGTATCTTTTGCCCCTTTCCCAGCCCCTCTGTGTGACCCCCAAGCCACTGCCTGTCTATTTTGCCCTTTCCCCTGCTCCTCTGTAGCTCTTCCACCTCCTCACAGCCCCTTTGTGTGTCTCTTTCTCTCCATAGCATAATGTGTGTGTTTCTTCCCCCCCCTTTTGTCACTTAGAGTCCCCACCCTCCGCTAATGGGTTAGGGCTATAGGGGGACCATAGGTTCACTGTTTAGTCTAATAGCCTCCATTCATGAGGCATTTGTTGTGAGGGGGTTGGACACTATGTCCCCTCCATTAACTATTTCAAAAGGTGCCCTACCATGGAGCACTTTATTGGATTAGTGGGTGTTTTTTTTTTTTTTTTTTTTTTAATGTTGTTTTTACAACAGTGAGCAGCCACAGCTGCTCACCGTTTAGTAGACATGCCGCAACATGAATCGGTTTGGAATTTCCTTTATTCAAATGAAATTCCGAACTGAACAAAATGCACAAATTTCTTCTTAACACAAATGGACAAACTTTTGACATTCTGTTAGATGCAATTTGGTGAATTTGCTGGCATCCTGTCTAAATTACAGGATCCAACGGCGAATGAAGCAACTAGAGATCATGGAGGAAAGGTGAGTATTGTGGAAAAATTCATTTGACCACAGGAAATGGAGTGGGCTTAAGGTCCTCCTTGGGTCAAAGCTGGTCAAGCATAGGAAAAATACATAAGACAGACAAAGTAGTCCCTACTTTGTCTTATGTTTTAAAGAAAAATAGATCAGATATGAAGAAAAGAAGAACAGATTCTGAGAGAGGAAGAGAAGGGGAAACAATAGGAGAAAGATGAAAGTTTTTTAACCCCTTAAGGACCAAACTTCTGGAATAAAAGGGAATCATGACATGTCACACTAGTCATGTGTCCTTAAGTGGTTAAAGACGTGAGTCTAAGTACATTTTTAGTGTCTGAATTCATAAAAAAAAAAAAAATAGCTTTTCGGGGGCTGAGCCTAGTTTCTGAGCAGAGCAAATGTGCATGTTCTGAGCTCCTAAATTTTGAGTTGATTTTGGGGTGCTATTCCCTGCAAACTGGCCATAAAAACTACCAACGAGCACCATCTGAGGTCTGGGGGTCCCAGTTACACAATTGGAGGCATCACATGAATCTACCAACTGCTGAAGATCTGAAAATCTCTACTGTGGCTTACTGGGAGCTGAGCAGAGATGACTGGTCTTCCTGCACTCAAGTCCCTGATCCGGTCTCACTGCTATCTGATCTCCGCCCCGGGCTGGTAGGGTTTATCCCGGTTCCCACTAAACTATCATGTGCCACTCACACTGCACTTATTTTAAGTTACAGATCACTAACTGACCTCAATCCGAGCACATACCGCCCTACCACCTAAAGAATAGGGCCTGGGCCCTATTGAGTCTTACTGTGGCTCACTAGAATGCACCATGCAAAAGCTTGACGCAGTCTTGAGAAGCTACTGGGCAAGGCTTTATGCTCATGCACAAGCTACAATGGCATGGTGGAGAGAAGCTATCGCAGAAAGCAGATTGCCGGAGTAGAAGGACATTCCTCGGAGCAAACCTGTCTTACCTAAGCATACTCACCTTGATGTACGCCTACCAAGGTCGAGGGGCCTTCGAGGCATTGCCTAATTCCATCATCCACAGCTGCGGGGTGTTATCTGCAGATGGCGGCACACCCCATCCAGATCCCTTGCTCACCCTGGAGGGGGAAAGGACTTGGCCCTTGGGAACAACAGAGTCTGTGGAAAACCTGATGCTGGCCCTCACTGAGGCCTGGTGCAGCGGATACACTTCGTTTAAGAGGCGTGTGTATACAAAAAGTGCTTAACTGGATAAAAAAAACAGCAGCTTTATACACTTTTGTGGAATACCCTCTCATTCACACCCAAAAGTCACAATTTGTAAAGCGGGATAAGTAAAGCCTACATATTAAGTGGAGTGCTTAAAATAAAATATATTTGTGTATGTGGTTACTTACCCCACGTTACCTTGTTTAATTCTTAAACACGTGGTACATAGAAAAAATAAAATAAACACAATATAGAGCAGATGGTATTTAAAAATGAACTAGATAAATTATTGAATAGTAGGATCACTCACATTTAAAGCAGTGATCCTACTATTCAATATATATATATATATATATATATATATATATATATATATATATATTGGCTCCGTACCTTGGTTTTTATGCTCTTAGGGCAGCATCACACCTCTAGTCCGCTTTAAAATTCTCTCTGAAAAAAATAAAGGAAGAAAGAATGTGTAGACTGTCAATAAGAACAGAATAAAAAGTGAAATAGGTATAGTGCTCACCTTGTTCAGAGCCTTAAAGTCCTGGTATGATAATATTGTGCCAATTTAGTGGGGATGGCACTACCCCTTTGAAGATTTGGAAGGCTCCAATGGACTTTAAAAGATTAAATATAATTTATTGTATTGTAATAAATTAATAGAAATTATTGAGTTGTAAATTTAAAACAAATAGTATATACATAAGTATAACAATATAAAATAACATTCAAAAAGTCCTCAATATAGCCTAAACGTTTTTCACTCTTGCAAAACTTCTTCAGTCAGCTGCAGTTATAGTCCTATGAATCTTCCATATTTAAGTCTCTTCTAGACCCTCCCCTCGGGTCACATGTGTAAATATTTGTCCAGTCCCAGTGTCTTTCAGTCTCTCTGATTTCCTTCCTATTAAATGCAGCTGTAGTCGTTTATAAATTAAAATGCCGAAATTGACGCCCTTTTTAAAACTTAATTTCATTGGTGATCTACCAATTTGCTAGTCCCACGTTAACTCAGCGTCCTGATGGAACCAGCTGAACCTGATACCGTGGTCTGCATCCTGAAAAGACGCATGATACATTTGCTATGCAATACTTTCTACGTGATATGTTGTTATTATTGATGCTCGCACTACTATTGATCTTATTTTACTTCTCAAGTTTACTTATTGTGTGTACTTTGGGTAGTGTAGAGAGGTGC